TCTCCTTGAGCAGCATCTGTCTCTGGACAGGCGTAGGGCCTAAAACAAACTTCACGCCCTCCGGCTCCAACACCACGCGCGGCTCCAGCTCATTGGGCGACACTGCGCTCTCTGGATTGGACGTCCGGAGTTCCAGAGGGGCGTGGCCACCGCCGCGAGAGCGCCGCTCCTCTTGTAGACCCGTCGTGTTCACATAAGTGTGCACCTGCACAGCCACCATTCATCAGAAACAGAAAAAGAGTTTTATGGTTTCTTATGAAAATATGAGCAGCACTTGTCCACATGAAATTTGCTGCCAAAATGGCATTAAATTATCCATTTAAAAAGGCCACAATAATACAAAAAATAAATAAATATATTATACTTACTACTTAAAATATAAAATACTATACTACTGAAATACTAAAAAAACGTAATACTTAATATAATACTTGAACTGATCAAATATATAATTTATTTAAAAATAATTTTTTATTTATTTTTTACAATTTATTATAGTATTGATGTTTTATATTGATATCTTTAAACTTGTTTATATGTGTGTGTGTGTGTGTGTGTGTGTGTGTGTGTGTGTGTGTGTGTGTGTGTGTGTGTGTGTGTGTGTGTGTGTGTGTGTGTGTGTGTGTGTGTGTGTGTGTGTGTGTGTGTGTGTGTGTGTGTGTGTGTGTGTGTGTGTTATATCGTATTTATTTTGTTTTATTTTTCAAAGAAAAGATTTGGAGTTTAGTTTTTTTACTACATAATTCCCATAATACTTCCAGTTGTGTGTGTGTTTTTTTACTATTATGATTATTATTATTATTTCTACGTTCCATATTTTATAATGACTAGTCTAAACTGTCCAAGCTTTTGCCTGTAGTGCACAGTAAGCACTTATTAGAGCACTTAATAATGTGTTAGGCCAGAGAAATGAGAACGATTGTCTCTGTAACACATGAACTCTGTTAAGCAGTTCTTCACTGCAGTATGTGTGACAGACAGACACCTTTAGACCGAGAGCTGCTCACCTTGAATTTGTTGTGATGGTTGTCAGGGATGATCTCTTTATCGGGACAGCTACAGCAGCTCCCCATGGCGCCTTTAACACACCATCGGACCCCTGCGCAAGAGATAAGAGGGATGACGATATGGAAAGAGAAGCAGTTGAGATGGAGAAGAACAGGGAGACATAAAGAGAGAAAATAACACTTCAGAAACATCAGACAGTCCTGTGTTTGCTAGGCTGTTTATTTAGAGGCTAGTACCATACTGAAGTCAAGATATCCACCCATCCCCTATACATGTCCCGTTTCTGTAGATGTGTGTTTGCTCTGATGGTCCAGCAGAGAGCGCTGCAGTGCTCACCTACATCCAGCCATCAGTGATTCTGCTCGTCTTGCCACACACAGCTCAACATCACACCTCCAGCACTTGTGTGTGTGTGTGTGAGGGACAGAGATCCGCTTCCTGTGGACAAAAACACACAAAACAAACTTGAGGACTCATTTTGTTACACATTTTGAAGCACATGTTCCTAGTGAGTAGGTCAGAGAAATATACATACATATATATATTTACATACATATGTGACCCTGGACCACAAAACCAGTCTTAAGCGTCAGTTTTTTGAAATTGAGATTTATAAATCATCTGAAAGCTGAATAAATAAGCTTTATACATATACCTGGTAAGATGTCCGCATCAAGAGAAATTTACAAAAGTGATTTTATGTCCATAGAAAGCACATTAAATGTAAGTAAAGTGTCTACTTTAGAGAATAAAATGTCAAAATTTGCTTGAAATAATGTTACATTGTCATTCAGTGTAACACAATATTTATGTAAAAATTCAAACATGC